GACCGTGTCTCACGGTGTTGTCGCTTGCAGATTTACCTATACTTCTTCAACCCTGAAGATGGGGGCGATACGTTCCTCCGAAACGTCGGTTAACACCACATATACACGGTGCCAAATCCCAGAAGACTGCTTTCTTCAATGTTGAAGCTATCTTTCAACGTTGCTTTAAATACGAGTGCTTTTTGCGGAATTTGAGAATAAAAATAGTTATTAAGTGGCTTAATGTCGACGGTTATTTGTCTTTTGAGTGAGGTCTACAGTAAGTGACAGAGCTCGTCAGTTATTTTTGGATTTAACAAAGAGAAGCACGTGTTACGCAGATGAGAGCAGTCTAAAGTTAAACTAAAGCACATATCAAGCTTTGGTCTCTGATATCCGCTTGCTTCATTTGAATTTTGGTCTGATACGTTCAGTTCGTATGCTAGATTGGACAATAACAGTTTTAAAAATGAATATAAGAACTAATTAACAATAGTAGTAAGAACAACAATGAACGAGGTCCACTCAGTCTCGTGAGGATAATTGAGGAGCTACTTGATGGAAAAGTGACGGCTCTGGTCTAGAAAACCGAGATTAACGCCCGTGGGGGTCCGTTGCACTGATCCCGTGACACCCTCTATCCGCAAAAATTGGCACTAACTTCACCGACAAGCGGTGGTCGCTCGGTATCTATAGTTCGCTTGTGGACTACAGGCCAAGGAGCAAAATGATAACAATAATAGTCGTTTAAAAGGAGGTTAGTGTGCAATAAATTTGTAGACGTTTGTAGAATTATATCCTTTTCGAATATTTGCCTGGTTACTGATTAAGGATTGTTGCGGTTTTCGTCAGTCTCTCCGGGAAAATTTCATAGTAGTCTCTCCATATGGGTCACTCCCATCTGCTTCCAAGCATTTACCACTCACCATTCATCATCATCATCTTCCGTCTCATACGAGGCTGTATAAACTAATGGCCTGCAGTTAAATACGTAACAGTCAATGATAATAACAATAATAATAATAGTAATAATAATAAAAGGTATAGCTATCCCTGCAACAGGCCGTGAATGTCCATAGGGTTGTGAGACGTCGAGGCTCCCACATTTTCTTTAGACAATCGGTTCGCAGATGGCGGTAAGGTTGTCAGCCTTGCACACCGGCCGCCCTTACCCACCCCTCTTCCGGGAAAATTCCTGGTATTCATTTCTGTTAGAGGCTGAGTCGATCCGAGAGCCATAGTGCGGCTGGAAAGATTAAGTCAACTTAAAAATTCCATCTCATCGAGACTCGAACCCGCGACCTTTCATCTTGTAGCATAGTGCCTCAACCAACAATGCTACCGCGTGCCCAAGTTTTTCCCGTTAAACCTGCCCTAAAATCATACACAACGATACGATTTAGAAAAAAAATATTTATTTCTCCTGTATAAACCATTTTGTGTCTTATACAGAAGGGAATATTGTATAGGATTATGTCTGTGATAGAGTAATGTACGGTGCATGATAATGACAATGAAAGTAAATGCTCCTACCATCTCATTCATAATTTCAAACTATCTGGAGTTTTCAATGACATCAAACTCCGCACGAAAGTAGTTAACATGTTAACTGTGAAATATAACAATCAAATGGAAAGAATCGAAATTTGTATTACTAGGCCATCGCAGGCCGTTTCCGCAGCTGCCACTGGGTTATCGCCATATCCTACAACGTTATGTGCTATAGTGGCACATATGACGCCATTTTATGAGAAGAAATAAGATGGGAGTGCGTGGACTGGATTCAATTTGATCCGTAACGTGTTGTGAAAACGTTAACGAGACTTCGAAGAACGAACGAAGATCTTGATATACTTTAAGGACTTATCCCGATATTTGCCTAGCAGGTCCTGAGGTCAACCACGAAACACCTCAGTTAGGATAGCCTTTCTCAGGGTCTAAGTTTGAACCTGGGGCCTCTAGAATATTAAGTAAAAATGTTAACTATTTTATCGTGACGCCAGGACCATATAAGTTTTTAATTTTATTTAGTTGTGTATGACATGTCAGGTATTTTGCTTCAATGTGAGCGGTCCGCTTGTGAGAAAATATAGGCCTAGTTCAGTTTTCTGTTTGACACATCCGAAACAGAATTAACTCTATATAGTGTCTGAGATGAAGGTAAGGATTCTGATATTCTGGATTGTTCCATTGTGCCACGTGGTTGCCAGCTTTTACCGTAACACCAAAACGTTAGTACTCACCTATCAGAATGGCGAATGAAATTCTCTCTACAGTGTTTTGGTGTAGACCCAAAATACAAAATGCAATCGAAAGCTAATCAATAGCTTAGAATATTTTGTGTGGACAAACATGACCTCCAGATTGTGCATTCACTTTAATGAAACAACTAATCTAAATCCATGGCGCGGAATCCATCTTGTCAAGTTAATAGTTTACCAGTTAGTGAAACAATTCCGTGTATTTTATGGAAGCCGAAGATTCGTTGCCGTACATAGAAACGCCCACAACTCTGTCCTATTCTGATCTAAATAAATTCAGTTCACAACTTTCCATCCTATTCAATTAAAACGTGTTTTAATTTTATCCTTTTGTCCCTTTATAGCACATGGGCACGGACCACACAAAGGAAACATTGCCTCTGTATTGTTGAGGTGTGTTTAATGATCCTTCGCCGTCATATTGTTGCGCGCCTACGCTACCAAGGGATTATGTTTAGCTAGTCGTTATATAGTAATGGGTCTATACGTCACAGTATTTTTATGGATAGATTTGGCCATCTTACATGCCTCACACAGTCTATGTTTCCGGAAGGAAAAAAGTCAAGTTGCACTGGGGAAGAGACATAAAACGTGGGTGGTATATGGGGAAATGTGGTATTTCTGGAAGCGTTACTTACCCAGTTTACGGCGTGACACACTCCTTTGTATTGCAATTGGCATGCCATTTTGCAAATTTCTAAGAAGGTTGGATTTACAGAGTGGACGTGTAAAATGCCGTTCGGAAGAAAGGGGCCATATATATAATTTTTTTTTTTTTTTTTTTTTCAGTTTTCAGAGGCTGGATTCGTAGCGGTTGTGGGAAACTGTGGTGTGTTTTGAGTAACTCAAGTTTTCTGGTAAATTAAGAAAATGTTAAGACATTCATTGAGCTTCAAATCCTTCTCTGTATAAATATACCGAAGTTATCAAATTTAGAGGTTAATTTCTATCCATACTTTCCAATAGGCCAAAATGTTGATTCCCTATGGAGGGAAGTTAGGGGTGACAGAAAAATGAAGTAATAATCCTGTAATCCTGAAAAGTTTTATTATTTAGAATTCATCGTCCTATATGACGAACACAGATTTTGGTCATTTTAGAATGAAGACATTATGGCATGCAGTACAATAGTTTAACGTGCATAAAGACACCTGAGGATGGCACATTAGTGCTGAAACATGTAGTGTGGAAGTGAAGAATAAGGTGAAAAGGTGTATACACAGTAAGACGGTCAGCATAAACCATAGACTGTAAAGGGACTATGTCAAGAGCTGAATGGTTTACTCTGATCCCTGATGATGAAGGCAGTAGATTCATCCGAAATATCGGTGAATATCTATTAAATTGCTCCGTATTACTAGCCCAGAACAGAATAATCTACCGTGTATTGGTGACGGGCGGGTCCCCGAGTGAACCTGAATAAAATAGGCAGCATTACGACATTCTTGCACGAAAGTACGGGTGCATATTGGGTCAAAGCCTCCTGTGAAACTTGAGATGCCGGAAGCTAGGCAAATGACAATCACATATGTAGGAGATACGTTCCATTGCCTAACAACTCCTTGAATATCATTATTGTTAAAGTATATGACGCTAGGCGTCGTCATCATCAGCTGCCTCCAGTACTGCAGGCGCTCGTCGTTCGTCAGTCGATGCCGAGCGTCCCGCCGCTAGCGACGCCTTCTCAGTCAAACGGCGCTTGAACTTGGTCGTGTACGTCTTTGTATTCGGTTCTTGTGATCAGGAATCTATTTGTGAGTAAGTTTGATAGTTTCAAAGAATATAAATAGATGTTAGGAATATCTGAATAAACGCACAACACTGAAATTTGTCTCTGCGTTTATCCGTAATCTTAATTCTATGATTTATTTCTTAGAATAAGGCAATAAAAGTATGCCATATTATTTGATATTGATTGATAGAGTGATAAGTTGTACGTCAGACTGTATAGACATGTTTTACAATTAAGTTTTTCTTCACTGCTTTGTACCTATATTTGACCTTGATGTACGTTTATGGCAGATACAAATGCATTGTTATAAGATTAATCACATTAGACATCACAGTCATCAAAGTCAGAAATAACTTGTTTGCTTCTATTTCGTTAAATATTAGCCATATCGACAACTATTTCGAATAGTCCTGCTGAAGCGTATGTTTCACCTTTTGTAATAATTTCTGATACAATGAGACGCTTTAACTTTAATAATGAAGTCTAGTTATACCTGCGTACAAGGTAAGGATTTAGATCTGCTGGATCGATATAAGTCAATATTAAATTCACAAACATCTTTCCGTGCAATATTCTATCATAATTAGCTAAAATGGTTCAATAGTTTACATAATATCCTCATTTCTACCTCATTGTTAGTGAGTAATTTATGAGTTTGTGAGTTATCAATGAGTTTGTCTCAGTCATTTAATAGGCTACTGAGTGCATTACAGAGACAGCGAGTTATTCAATAGACAAACGAATTAATTAATGTGATATTGAATTATTTAATTGAGAGATGTACAAGTTACCGTTTTTTTTTTCACTTAGTGGGGGTGGATTCCAGCTGGGTCCATTCGGCACAGCAGCCACTGTTGGCCTATTGTAACCGCCCTGGGTGATTATGATGATGATGGAGAATTTGGTGGGATGAAGATTGGCAGGGTAAACCGAAGTGCTCGGAGAAAACACTCCTCAGCGCCACTTTGTCCACCACAAATCCCACTTGACCAGACCCGGGATCGAACCCGGGCCGCCACGGAAGCTAGCGACTAACCGCTTGAGCTAGAGCGCGGCATAAGTTACCGTCTTAGTGAGCTATTCAGTGGGTTAGTCAATATGTTAGTTAGTGAGTTAATCTGCTACTGACTTATTGTCAGTGATTACGCCACTGTGTTCGTGAGTTATTCAGTGTGTTATTGTGTTGATTAACGAGTTAGTTTGTTAATTGACTACCGTTTGTTTAATAGACTAGAGATTTTCTGTGCTCCTGAGTTCATGAATATTTCAACAAATTAGTTAGGTAGCTAACGATACAATGTATTAGGTCTGACAAGAAAAGAATCGAAGTATAACAGGAAGACTGATCGTGTAGGCTCAAGTAAGGCTCATTTTTAGGCTCTTCTCTATGTTGACTTGAACCTTCTTATCTCCTAATAACAATACACCTTCAGGCAGATCTGAGAAACGTAGGGCCTATTAAGAAATGACGTGCTTTTTGCGCATTACAATTTGCTTATTCGCATTTGAGACTCAGTACAGAAATATTATGATTTTGTAACTCTTTGGCTTCTGCTAAATAAATTTTATACTACATGTTGTGGTTTCTTGGGACTTGACGTAGTCTGGCCAGAATCGACGTTTCGAAGAGGAATACTGTCTCTTTTATTCTGAAGATGGAGCCAGTATATTTCTCCAAAATTTTGGTACCCATCAAACGGATTATTCAGTTCATAATGCGCCATACCACAATAAGAATTCTCATCACAAAGAAAACCTGAGATCTCGAATTTTAATTTAACTTCTGACTCTGGAGTTTTCTCGTTTTCAGTATCACTATATCTCGGTCTCGAAGCTTGAAACTTAAAGAATCAATAACGCTCTAATTAAGAAGGAAAAGTTTGCTCCCGCGGGAGACAAAGAATAAGGAGGCCGTACTGTAAGTCAGGCTGTTAGTTTCCGGCTTTCCATCGCGTCTGCCCGCGTTCCATCCCAGGTCAAGTCATGTGGGATTTGTGCTCGGTAAGGCGGCAAGTGGAGAGGTTTTCTCGAAATACATCTGTTTTCCCTGCCACTTTTCATTCACCAATTACTCCACATACATTAATCGTTCTATCACCGATGCTATAGAGTGTTAATACTGACAACCCCATGAAATGAACAACTTACTTACTTACTTACTTACTTACTTACTCATGGAGCTTAGTCCTTCTCGAGGAGCCACCAATTCTGCAGCCACTCGAGAATCTCCCAGCCTTCCATGGAACCCGAAGGTTCATTACCGTGCTCACAAGAGCCCTCCACTGGTCCCTATCCTGAGCCAGATCCATCCAATCCATACCATCCCATCCTATCTCTCTGAGATCCATTCTAATATTGTCCACCCACCTACGCCTTGGTCTTCCCTGTGGTCTCTTTCCTTCTGGCTTTCCCACCAATATCCTATACGCATTCCTCGTCTCCCCCATTTGTGCTACATGACCTGCCCAACTCATCCTCCTTGACTTGATCAATCTAATTATACTTGGAGAAGGGTACAAGTTATGAAGCGGAATGAACAGCTTAAAAAATAATAATATTTGGAATGAATATTCGAATCCTATGCAAAACCCGATACATCAGTTTAACAACCATAGCTACAGTTCATATTAGCAAGGATGTGGAACAGATACCATTGGATATTCTCTATTAGGTCGGCAGTGGGAAAGAGGAAAGGAAACAGTTACGCAACAATAGAGGAAACTGTGTTTTCCGTGCCCACGGTGATGTCACAGCAGTGGATAGTGATATCGTGACATGTGTTTTCTCTAGATCCGACCGACGAGCCAGTAGACTGTCTGGATAGCGATCACGTGATTGATGTTTACTGTAGGTTCATGTCCGTTTCGCGGCTGTATAACGAGAGCCGTGTGCTGTAAGTTCAGAGTGAATTAGAAACTAGAAATACAGAAGAATTAGAAGTCTTCCTGTGGAGACTTAGCCTGTGATTAGAAGATCTTATTTATGTGTAATATTTGGAATGTGTAATTCAGTGAGACTGTTATAGTACCTGTGTGATAAATCCGTGAAAACTAGAGCAAATAGACTGAAGAGATTAGTGTTGAGTGACTGTACATTGTATAAAGCAGCAATAATATAATAATTAATTGTAGTTACGACCTGTAAATATCCAATAAATACAATTACCAACCCAAACTCGTGTCTTAGTCACTGTGGCGCGTGACAATATGTACTACATTAGAAATGCCTACGCAATTCTCTTCGTGCCTTGTAGGACTATAACGAGAGCCTGCCGTTAATTATGCGTGAGATAACGATCGCTCTCTTTCGGTCTCGCTGCTGCCTTGGATTTCGATTTTCTGCTCACTTGTTGCCTCACATCAGTTCTACGGGCTTTGCTATGGCAAAATAATTCCCGTTTCTATAACAGTTCATTCATAGTAACTGCAGCGTTTAGTTTAGTTGCAAAGACATATACGGTGAGAACGTGTTAGGTAAGCGTGTAGTCCAAAAACTTAGTAACTGAAGTTGTTATGAGCTGGAAGACGGATGGATATTCTAGGAAGTAGCATGATTTTGGCACGTTCACAACGAGAGTTGCGAAAATGTGCCTGTTAGCTCCGCCATGTCTGTGATTCCGTAACAACTCAATAACGGTCGAACAAATTTTTATTAAATTTGATATTTGCGAATTATGCTGAATTTTATTGATACATTTCAGTTCTGGTTAAAATCGAACTCGTGTAACGGACACTTAACATAATGACGGATGTATTTCGCGTTCATCTCCACCGTAACTAGCCAAAACCTTTCATTATTTTTTTATTGCTAGTGGGGTGGGACTAAGTCCCTTGTACTGCGGCCACTTCTGGCCTATTGTACCAGCCCCAGATGACAGGTGAGGGTGATTGTGGAGCAATTGGTGGAATGAAGATTGGCAGGGGAAACCGAAGTACTCGGAGAAAACCTGCCCCAGCGCCACTTTGTCCACCACAAAAACCACTTGACCAGACTCGGGATCGCGGTGTGAAGACCTTTTAAGTTAAAGAAGTCGAAAAAAGGAAAAAAATTTTGTGTCCATCACATTTCTTCGTAATTATTACAAACAAAGAAATCTAACTCCTTGGTTTTGGTCCACAAGCGAACTATACCGACCGAGCGACCGCCGCTAATCGGCGAAGTTAGTGCTAACTTTAGCGGATAGAGGGTGTTGCGTGGTCAGCGCAACTAATCACCACGGCCGTTAATTTCGGTTTTCTAGATCAGAGCTGCTATTTCCTTGAAATAGCTCCTCAGTTATCCTCACGAGGTTGAATGGACCCCGTTCTAGACCCACTACTTCTCAGAAAATCTGTTAAAGCCGGGAATCGAACCCGGGACCTCTGGATCTGTAGGCAGGAAATCTGACCACTAGACCACAGAAGCGGTCCGTTTTATAAATAATTAAATGCGTGTGAGTGACGGCGCTAGAATTTTGCCGTGCCTACGTTTCCTCCCGTTGTCGTCAACACCGTCAACTCTGAGGTTCAATAAGCCTCGTATCCAATGCGAACCCCGGGAAAAGCAGTTGAAGTTTAGGCCGATGTTTTGAGCTACGCTTCAGATACCTCACACGTCTTCAAGAAGTGGTGCTTAGACAGAGAGATACCCTTTTATCCGCATGAAAAGCCTACTGTGATACGAAGAATCATGATAATATCCGGTACTGCAGGTCAACGTTGAAATTTAGTGAGAGATTTTTTAGTGTTACCTGCTATTTATTGTTGCCACAGTGACAATATGCGAATGTATAACTTTCGGAATACTTAAGCGGGAGGAAGCAACAGGAGACTGGAGAAAAAGTATAGTAAAAATTCGAAGGAGAAGGAAGAGATCAGCACGGAAACTGTCGCGCATTGGAAAGTTGACTTACAAGAGTGCATAATTTCTGTAAGAACACCTGAAGGAAAGAAACACATTCTTAGATCTAGGTATAAATGAATGGATAATATTAAAATGAATCTTAAAGAATTATACTAACAGAATATGGATGTGATTTATCTGGCTC